GCTAGGAATGACTTCAAAGTCTACTTACACAAAGTGGACTTACTTTGTTAGACAATATCAATTCAAGTACCCAATGCAAGTTGCCACGTGGACACTAGGATCCAACACACATCCATTAATATAGGCCCTGTTTTCCTATCGATGGAACTGTAAACCACCTACAGCGTTGGCAGTGACAGTAGTAGACAGACGCTTAGTAGGCCTGACACAATTCCATGAAGTAAAGTGTGTAGTGATTACCATGTAGAGAAAACATGTGCTACCCTGCTATCTGAGTCATGTGTTTTCCTGTTGTATTGATCTGTACCTGAGCACATAAATATGAAGCCAGGACATGATATACAAGTGTGTGAGTTGACTTGCCCCGACACATGAACAGCAACGGTCAACATACATATTACATAGTATGCTCATACTAGAGTGTGAAATTACAACAATGTAGGAAATTCTTTAACAAGCCAAAATTAGATCAATACAAAAGAGATGAATGAGTGCAATAAACCGTGGTGCAAGGTTTTATATTGGTAAGAAATGATGTTGATAGGAGGAAATCTTTTATGATTGGAACATTGTGTCATATAATATTCAACTTTCTCTCTGAACAGCTAGTGAGCTGTGAGCATTTGCATTCACCAAGTAGCCCACACTGAACAAGAACAGGTGAAGGATGTCTGGCCGAGGTGAGACAATGATGCTAAAACAATTACAAAATTAACATATACTCAATCAGTCAGCCTCATAATGCCTTTATCATTCAGGTACGAGGGAGAAAGATAGTTTACTTTCAAGGTTTTTTTTATTGTGAAGGAACTCGTGGGCCAGGTTAGCCCAAGTTGCGCCCTACATACAATATGCATTGTAACTAGAAAGGCCAATATTTGCTTTGGAGCAAATACAGCGATGGGTTCACCACATTTTACGACATGGCAGGGAAAGAATGAGAAACACAAGGGAAAACAATGATTTACATTGATATAACTATAATATGAAGTAAAATACAACTAAAACAACAGTTGGATAGCTATTCCCTACTTTATTGGTTAGGATTTATAATTGCATAATGCAAACTGTTGATTTTCAAAAAAAAAAAAAACGT